ATTTCTCTTTCTCATGCATTCTGCCTTATAACCACCAGAGGTCCTCAGTCCCCCTTTATGTATCTAACCTAGAGCACCAACACCTTGATTCTGAAACATCACCACAGCAACAAATAAACCTGCTCTAAAATTGAAAATTACAATATTTTATAATCCCATGCTGGACGTTTTTTCTGTTTTACTTTGTTTTACTCTCAAACCGTTCTTACTTTCAGACAGAATATACGATCAATAACTTTTCAAGTTGACATTTGAAGTAAAACTGCTAACTGAGGTATCAGTAGTTAAATTTGTATTCCAACACGTTTATTTTTTTTACTACCTGTCTTTACTGTTTTTTTTTTTTCAATGCTTTTATTCCATCGTATTTTCCTTTTTTTTATTGTTTAATTTGTGTAAAGCACTTTGAATTGTCTTTGTATATACAGAGCATGTCAGTGCGTTTTTTCTGGATAAACTACCCTTTTTATTTCTCTCTTTTCTCCTAAACAATCACGCCCAAGCCAAAGTAAATTCTTAAACTCGTTTTTTTTAACAATGATTTGGTGGGTAGTAATTAGTTATATTTATTAAACTTTATTAAGAAAATGCATTCTGAGGTGTTAAAGCTCAGAACTGAGTGCCCAGTATTCAGGCAAACAGTCAGATATCTCAAAATAAGCATTTTTTAAAATGATGGAATCTATGGTGAACAGTTAGGGCTTCTAATGCAGGAACCTCTGCAGGAGACAGCAGGTTAGTGACCATGTTAATTTGATGGAGGATGATTATGAACTTGTGAGTCAGTAACCTGGTCTTATTGTTCAGTCAGTGCCCAGAGAACGAGGTTGATTCCAGCTGCCAAAAAGACGCGGCCAAGAGAGTTCCAGAATCTGTAGCTCTGGAGGTCAAAGGACAGGCGGGAGATCAGAACCAAGCAGACGAATAAAGGCAGGATAATCCAGAGGGCAAAGCCACTGTCGAGGATGTGCTATGGATTCAGAACCAGGAGATCATAAGTCTGAAGAGGTTCCGAAGGGAAATCAAGAAGGGTTTCAGGAATCAGTTCCAAGTTCAGTCAAAAGGCAGAATTCAGCACGAGTCCAAAGACAGGTCAGGCAAACAGATTAGAACAAGAACCGGTAAACTCAGAGGTCCGAAGGAAGAACGAGTCAGGATCAGGCAATCGGTAACACTAAGGTACCCAAGAGAAAACTCATACCAGAGGCTCAAGAATAATATGGCACTGATGACTGGTTAGATGGCTTGTTAAAAAGAAGCTGGTGCAGGTAGATCAGATGAATGGTAATGAGAAACTGGGCAGAGCTAGGCAGGTGAATGGAAAGAACAATCAAGCCAGTCATCAGCGCTAAGATACTGTTTGGACACTGAGGGGTATTTTGCTTTCCAATGTTTCCCACTTAAAGGCACACCATGTACCTTTTAGCCACTAGGGGGCACTATATTTTTTAACTGCCTGTATTTTGCTTCTACAAAACATTGAAAATAGTAACAAAGATATTTGACTGCATGTTAGGAGCAAAGTCTAAACTTACCAGGCTAATAATAAAGCTGAGAAAAGAGAATCAGTTTTACATCTGGCTTTTTTCAGCCTGCACTACTGAACAAACTCCTTTCCATGTTTTTCGGCATGCATGGTCCCTTTCATGTTTTCTCTTTTTAGCCTCCTCGGAAGGTTTAAACTTTGCCTGCGTCAGCCAGCGGCAAAAATAGTAGAGCAAAAGTCTTTGATGTGGAAAGCTCCATGACTATATAAGGTACGATACATCCTTCCAGCTCACATGACCTGGCCAACGACAGGTCATGTGACAGTGCATCGTCTCCCAACTTACAAAGGCAGTATTTCAAGAGGGGAGACCCGCTGATAGCATTGATAGTGTCAAGCACTGTATATTGGCTTGAGGAATCATTTAAAATATCTCAAATGTGACAATTGTTTAGGTCACAAAGTTCGCAGTGTGCCTTTAAGTAATATTCTTTTTATAACATTGCTGTTCTTACTTTAGTAAAATGTGTGTTTGACCTACCCAGCAAAAGTAATTTGAGCTATTAAGACATAAGGTGAATGTAAACAGATATTGGGGATGGAAGTTATATGTCCTTTACTGATACAGAAGCATTGCAAGAAGTAAACACACCAGGCAGAACCTGCTCTTCTGCTCATTGTAAAGATTTAATCCTTGGTGCAGCTAGTTAGTAAAATGGCTTTGCTTGTGCTATTAAGTTATCCCATGTTTTTATGCACATAGGTAGATATTCTTTGTCAAATAGA